GGGCCTAGCCCGCGGTCCTGGGGCCGCCTTGCCGCACCCCTGGCCTGTGCCCCGGCGCTCCCGGCCCAGTTTCCGCGCTGCACAGCGTCCGCCTCGGCCTCCAGGGCGTTTCTTCGCTTAAGGGTTCCCCGCGGTGGTGCTACCTGGATTAGGCGTGGAGCGGTGCGGGGAGTCATGCAGCGAAGATAGACCCAGATTCCTGGGTGCTGAGCAGTGCAGTGCTATCCCGTGTGTGTCACCGGGACTCGGGAAGTGTGGGCAGTAGCTTGTGCACTGCTGGTTCTTTTCCAGAAAAGTCTTTGGAGGTCCACTGAGTAAGGGCGGGGGGGGTTGCAATTCAGGGAAGGAGACTGTGTGACAGGTTTGTTATTATAACACATAGAATCATAGAGTCATGGTGGTTGGAAAAGATCTATTCCTTGTGGTTAAAGCAGCCAGGTAATAAGCCTTTGTAAAAGCAGGACCCAGGCACCATTCTGAGTTGTGTTAGCTTGTCTGGTTTGCAAATTCTGCTAAGAACACCTGGGAGGGTCTTGTGTAAGAAAAAGAGAAACTGGTGTAAGGGAAATTTCTGAGTGAGAAGCAAGTCTCACTTTAAAGCAGAAGATCATTCTGCTGCACTGTGGAAATGGTACATTTGTTACCAGGTTATGTCTTCTTCAGCCTGAGTCCTTCCGTGTTAGGAAGGAGTGTGTTAGGAAGCTTGTGGTAGCTTTATCAGGAGGGCCCTTAGCCACTGCCATTCTTTGCTCTGTGAAAATCAAGTCTAGGTTAGTAGTAACTATTTTTTTTTTCTTCATTTTTTTAATAGTTGAGCCACAGGCCCTCCACCTTCTCTTCCTTCTTGTTTGTGTCCTCCCACCTGTCAGAACTTCCCCCTTAGTGTGGTTACTATATTCTGCTTTATGATTGTATCTCACTGGTTGGGACCTGGTAGCCTAGGTCAGGGGCTGGAAACAGAATATGATCTTTTGTTTTGGCATCTGTGGTCTTGCTCCCAAGACCTCAGTACATTTAGAGAGATTTAATGTTCATTTGTTATGTGATAGGTTGTGATGTGATAAGTTGCAACCTTGTTATGTGATAAGTGTGTCGTTGCAACTTATCACATCACAACCTATCGGGTGTATTGGAAAGCAGAGCTGTGGAATTCCAGAAGACGCAGGTGGGGTGTATCGGAAAGCAAAGCTGTGGAATTCCAGAAGACGCAGGTGAAGAAGGATATTCCTGGGCTTTGCCTCCAGAGACATGAAATAGTCTTGGGTTAGATATTTGCTCTACTGTAAGTTTGCTTTGACCCTAGACAAGAAGTTGTCCTCCCCATAGTTTAATTTCCTGCTAATACACCGAGAATAATCCCTTTCTATTTTAGTACAGTGCTGTGAATATGAGTATATAACATGGATTAGGGTGCTTTGGGAATAAGAGCCATAAGTACCTTAGAGATGGGACTTCTGGATACTTCAAATGTTAAAAGTAAATTTTCCTTTTAAGATACATACAGACATCTCTTTTTTTGAAATACATTTTTTTTTCTGATTGTGATCTAGAAAACAAAATTAGGGTGTGAAACTGTAGGATTCCTTGAGAACTGTAGGAATGGAATTTCTTTTTTCCTTAACAAATGTTATGAGGCAGTATTGGCAACTTGGATTATAAATATCCTGTTTAATAACTAATCCTATTCATAAACTGAATTCTAGAAGAGTTAAGCCCTTTTTGTGAATCTGGGCCTTTCCGCATGGTATTAACGTAAAACCAATTATGTCTTGATAATGAACATCTCAAGTATTTTTAACACACACGAGCCCTTAATCACATCTCTTCCTTTACGAAGAGAGCTGTGAATGGACCGAGTCCTGTAGCTCACAGCTGGCTCCTGCGGCTCACACTGGCAGCCGTTCTATAAATAAACCTGCAGCACAGAGTAGGGGGGTAGGTATTTGTATCCTGCCTATTGTCTTGGGTTTATTTCCTGCCTTTTAATGATGGGTGACAGATGCAATTCAAATCCTTGTGGTTCCCAGAGCATGTCCATGTGTGTCTTTTAGAAGAAGAAGGAACACGTTGACTCCCACTGTTTGACTATTCAGATAGGATTGCTAGTATTAAAGTGAAGAACGTTTTTCCTGGTGTATTTTGTATGATTGACAGCAGGTTTTGTGGAGCAGACTTCAGCATTTGCTTTGCACATTAGTTCATTTTCCCTGTGTGTGCGAGTGAGTTATTAGCAGAGAAGAGAAAATGGGATGTATGTGGAAGTACTTTGTGGGGTGGAGTAGGGAATTGTGAGCAGATGCCATTTCCAAAACTACTCATTGGAAAATAAGGCAAGATTGGGTTGTTCACTAATAGCAATGTGTCAAGGCATTTTTACTGTAGGATACAGATAAGGTAACAACAGCACCATTTTTTTTTTCTTCTTTAATCCTATGGGAGACACCATTAATAGAATCCTAGTCAGAGCCTTGTTCTTCTGGGTCTTCAGGCACAGACCATTTTAGGACTCCCATGACTGTGTTAGTCATGCAGGTTCAAACAGAGTGCTGTTGTAATGCACATCAGGGTTTTTTTTTTTTTTTTCAAAAAGGAAAGAGATTTTTATCTTGTCCTGCTTACCTAGCATTTCTCGTAAGTCTGGCTTGCCAGTGAAAGGAGAAATCCCCCGTTATGTTTTGCCACAAACCCTTGCACCTGCGTTCATGTGGCTGCGTGGTGAGTTGGATCAGGGTCCTGGCATGTCTGAAAACTGTCCCTGGCTTACACAGGTGCTAGTGCCGGCACAAAGGAAATGATGGAAATGCAAGTGGGGGTGTATGACTCTCTTCCTTGGTACAGCCTGTGCTGATGCTGGTTCAAAGTGAGTATGTAATTCCATCCTCCTTATCTGTATGTCGTCCTTGCTTCGTCTCAGCTCCCTGAGGCAGGCTCCTTGCCTCATTGCGGGCGTTTGGTGAAAATCCTGTACGTTGCTCGCTTCTGTGAGCTAGGATGCCATTTTCCAGAACTCCTTCATTTGAAACCCGCTTGCACTTGTGGTATTAATAAATCACTTCTTTAATCTCAAAGGAAAATGGTAAAGGTGTTAGCTTTAATGAGGCACTTGAAAATGGTATGGTGGATAAATAACATCCCAAGGTTTAAAACTAGTGAAGAGTTCCTGTGTTGTGCCATGTTAAAACGTGATGCCCGTCTGTTGTGCTGAATGGGGCAATGCTGATGGGCCCTTGAGAAGGGAGTGTTTACTGTAGCAGGTTATTGCATGTTCAAATTTCCTTAGTGAAGTAGAAATCAGGTCATTTTAGTGAATATTTGATTAACAGATGCCTCCCCCCACCCTTTTTAAAATCTTATTCTGAATTCAGTCTGCAGGCTGTGCTAACTCCTGGCTGATATGTGGAACTGAGAGAAGCAGAGCATCTCTAATATTTTGGTTTTAAGAAAATGGGTCTCTTTAGCCATGAGATAAATAAGCTAAAATTTAAATACAGCAATGCAGGAACTGAGAAGCTGCTTTGTGTGATTTCTATAATTGCTTCTCTGGTGCAGCTCTACGTGGCCTACATTATATCAGTAGTTGTCTTTGTGTTGAGCCTTTTATTTTAGGAGAGCGTCTGCTTAAGTGCTACTCTTGCTTGCCATGAAACTTTGAAATAAATCCTACTTTGAGCAGGAGATTGCACCAGATGACCTCCAGAAGTCCCTTCCAAGGTAATTCCTATCCTTGATTAGCTGCATATCGGTGATTAAGCATTAGCAGTGGTGCTGCTTTGCCTGTATAGGTTCCTGCAGAGTGCATTGCTGTACCAACTGGGCAGTAGTAGCCCCAGGCTTCTGGGAACTGCCCTGCCAATTTTGCTGTGCTATGCTCCCGAGCTCCTCGGAGCACTGAGACCTGCAAGACAAGACTTGAGAAAGGCACCTTGCGACAGGTGCCTTTCTCAAGCTCAGGTCATTGGCATTTCCAGTGCATGGGCTAAGTGCTGCCTTCTCTCTGCTGAGCTTTCTAAGGACCTGTTGGTTTGAGGCAAAATCTGCAAGTGGAAGGAGCAAGGTGCCCCATCTGCGAGGCCAAGGAAGTGTCTGGCTTTCAGCACCTTAGGGTGGCTGTTAAATGTTGGCACCATTCTGAGCATTCGTGTGGCAGCATACAGAATGAGTGACTTCTGTGCCCTTCCACATTTAGGATTAGCTGTTTTGCAGAGAGGAAACTCAGGGCAGAGGAGATCAAGTGGCCTGTTCAGAGCTGCAGAGGGAGCAGCTTAGAACTAGGTCTCACTGAGGAGTGCCTGGAACCAGACCAGAACTATTGTCTGTTCACTTCTAGAAAGGAAGTTGGCGTGTTAAAATAGCTGAAAATGTGATTCACTTGCACCCTTGTATGCTGAACTCTGAGCCACAGATGCATTCTTCCCTTCCCCTGTACCCCAAACCTTCCTGTTAATTGGTAACATCTCCATGTTTATTCAGTCCCTAAATTAAAAAAAAAAAAGTTGCATACCAAATAATCAATTATACAAAGTTTTGTAGCTTGTGACACATGTTGAAATGTTGAGGAAGAACTTCTGGCAAAGAGATGTACTGACTCATCTGGAAAAATAAGCCATTTTTTAGTCCTTAATACTGTGAATGCTTCTGCTGGGAGTTTTGAACAAACTTGTCTGTTCAAAACTTCACTGCCTCTATGGTGTAGAAAAAAAAGCTGTAACTCTTCCCAAGAGCAGGTGAATAGAGGGGAGGGACAGTCACGGCAGCTGGATTCACCAGCGAACATCTGTCAGAGGCCACAGAGACTGACCCACTGCTCGTGCCTCTTCAGGCTTTCTGGAGGGATCCAAGGCTTTGGTGCAGTTTGGGAGCAAGTAGGAATGGGATTGTGCACTTGATTTGGGTTTCACCCAGGGGAACGGTGCACCCAGGTGCAGAATGGGATGCAGCCCCTCTTCCCTGAGGGTTGAATGCAAGGTAACTAAATCTACCTTAGAAATCCCAGCAGCAGCAGCAAGGCCCGGATAATTGGGCCTTGGATGCCAGCAGCACTGTAAATACTGCAGGGCCTTGTTTACATTAGGAGTGTGTAGCTAGATAAGTACCTGTTGTGAAAACACAGCCTTTCTTGAATCAAAGTTCAGGCTGGGAACAGTGCGAGAGAACTGTGAAGAAAAGCTGTACTCATTTGGAGATCTTCTGGAGATCTTCAAAAAATTGCATGGAAAAGTGTCTTTTTATAGCACAGAAATGTAAGCGTTCACTGTTGCTATGTCTCTGTTCCAAACCTGCCAGTGTGACAGGTGAGGCAGTTGCTGTGTGCTAGAAAACACGTGCTTTGTTCAGGAAATGCTGCTGCAAAATTTCCGTGGTGTGTATCCCCAGTGCTTCTCACTCTTCTGTTTGGAGGCACTTATTCTGCAGGATGTAAGGTTGCAAACTCCAAGAAAAAAACAATCTTCAAGTAAGTAAACATGGGAGAAAATATGAACAGTAAACAGATAACGCAGATTTAGCCTGATCTTGACTTGGTTGAAGTAAAAGCAGCAGTGGTAGCAGCTTTCAGAAGGCTCTGTGGATTTTCTTCCCCCCCAGAGAAGTTAGTTCGGCCTTGTTTTAAAAAAAAAAAATGAAGAAAATTGCTTCAGAAGGGGCTCTAAGCTCATCAGAATTGACAAAGTGGCCAGGGAAGATAAGAGGACCGTATTTGTTAATGTTTGCTTTCAAAGGGAGAGAAGCAGAGTGCGTGCTGGCTACAGTAGCAAGGCCTGGGTATATGTTGTCAATGGGTAGTAGTTGCAGGCAGATAGGAGGTCCTAGTGCTACCTGAGTTGGGCTGAATGAATGCTGCCTCCAGAGCCTTGTGAGTTTTACTTGGAAGTATTGTAGGTTCTGCTCCAGACCACTGCAGGAAAGTGAAAATCACAATAAAATCACGTGATTTTTTTCCTCGGTGCATATAAAGTTGTGTTTACACTCTGTTATAATCTATTAAGTGTGCAATAGCATTAGGTCTGACAAAAATCTATGTATATACCTTAACTAAAAAAAATACTTTATTGCTAGAAAAAATAATGCTAACCATCATCTGATCCTTCAGCAAGTCTTAATCTTTTTGCTGGTGGAGGGTCTTTCCTTGGCATCGGTAGCTGCTGACTGATTAGGGTGGTTGCTGAAGTTGTAGGTGTCTGTGGCAATTTCCTAAAATGAAACTGGTGAAGTTTGCCAGATCAATTGACCCTTCCTTTCACAAAGGATTTCTCTATAGATTCCGATGCTATTTGATAGTGTTTTACCCACGGTAGAACTGCTTTCAGAACTGGAGTCAGTCCTCTCAAACCCTGTCACTGCTTTGTCATTTACGTTTATGTAATACCTTCAAAATCCTGCGTTGTCATTTCAGTGATGTTCACAGCATCTTCCTCAGAAGTAGATTCCATCTCAAGAAACCACTGTCTTTGCTCATCCATAAAAAGCAGCTCCTCATCCACTGAAATTTTATCATGAGATTGCACCAGTTCAGGCACATCTTCAGGCTCCACTTCTGATAGTAACATCAAAGATCACTGATCAGAGATCACCATAAGATATAATAATAATGCAAAAGTTTGAAATATTGTGATAATTTCCAAAATGTAACACAGAGACAGGAAGTGAACACAAGCTGTTAAAAAAAAATGGTGCTGACAGCCTTGCCTGACACAGGGTTGCCACAAACCTTACATTTGTACAAAATGCAGTGCCTGCAAAGTGCAATAGGACAAAGTGCAGTAAAATGAGGTATGCCTGTATTTCCTCTGCTCGCTTGGATCTGCTGGCATAGCTGCTTGTGTCCTGGATCCCTAGGCTCTTTTCAGCAAAGAAGTGGTCTTGGTTGAGACAAGCCTGTGCTGCTGAGCAGCACACTTCTCAATCGCTCGACAGACTGAGGTTAGGGAACAACTTTGTGTGTAGGTAGGGGAGGAGGGTGTGGTGCTCGGGCAGAGGTTAAGCTTGTAACTAGCTCGGCTGTAGCTGGGGTGATGTCTGTGTGTGGAGCCAACACCGTGATGTTATGGGAAGTAGCTTAATCTGGGCGGCTCAAACAGGGCAAGATTGTCTGGGGAGTGATTCTGGGCTCTAAACACAAGTCTAAGCACTCAACACCTCGTGCCTACTGGGGGTGAGCACTCAGTACAGGCACCTGAGTTATGATACCCAGCTGAATTCGGTCGGGCTGTTGCTCCACTTCGTAGCATGCCGTAGATGCTCTTAGCACTGCATGCTGTGGATTGCCATATCTAAAGGGTTATGGGGACTCTGCTATGTGATTCACGTGAAAAAGAAAAAAAGTGAAATGCATACTGTCCAGTTTCCAGAGTCCATAATTCTTTTGTTTCTTATGCAGGGTAGGATACTGGCATCCAAATGGCTCTCTTGAATAGGCAACTGGGCTTATCCATAGCCCATCTAAGCAGCACAGTCACCCAGCGACACTTCAGGTAATTTTCAAATCCTGCTTTTTTTTTTTTTTCCCCTGGGATCAATACCCTGATTCAAAGAGATGTTGTTAAGTCAATCAAGCCTAAAATATAGTCTAATTTGAAAAGGGTAATATCATAAAAAAAATAAAATTAAAAAAACCCACTGCTGTCATTTCATGATTTTTAAAGTGAGCCCCAGCACAACTAGAGATTCAGGTTCCTGGCAATCTGAACTCTATATTTGCATGCTTATAAAGGATTTTATAGGCCTTTGAGGATTCTCTTCAGCCAAGTGAAGAGGAGAGGAGGAAAAAAAAAAAAAAAAAAGGCAGCAGCCAACCTCTGCTGATGTAAAGCCAAATGCATGTTTAAAATTCTTCTAGAGTTCATCATTTCAGGTATTTAGAACAAGAGTAACCCGAAAAAAAAATTCCCTTCTACCTTGACATTACCTCTTTAGTTATTTTTCTTTAGGTGTTACTCCAAGCTTAAGGCATTTAAAGCTTCTTAAATTCATTGGCTTTGTGTTTTGCAACGCCCTGCATAGAGTAGACCAGTGGGCTTGGTGTGGGCATGAGGGATCTGTAGCACAGAGCTCTCTGAAGCCTCAGGGTTTCAGTTTGCAGGGTGAGAATAGTCATTCCCATGACTGTTTTTCTTCCATTGTGTAGAGAGGGCATTAAGGCGAGGTTAAGGGCTACCTTTCAAGGAGGTGTGTAAGTCTTATTGGCATTCCCAGTAAATAGGCTGCATGGGGGCATAAAGGATAGATACCAGCAGCAGGAGGGAGGGAAATCCACAGTCAAGCAGTGCTGCCGCTGTAGCCAGCGATCTGTCAGGGAAACCTGTTCTGTGTGGTGGGCCTGCTTTGAACAAGGTGTGGATCTGCTTCAAGACTTTGGCCGAAACAAAGCAGCGAGGAAAAACAAAGTACCCCCTGTGCAGCTGTACTTGTCTGGTGTGTACCTGAGCAGCTGCACTTTCATAGGTGTCAGTTTGCTCTGCAGCTTTGTGAATTCGCTCCCACCCAGGCTTCCCTTTCTGCCTGCAGCAGCGCTCTGCAGTAAAGGTCCCCAGTGGGCTTTATTTGCTGTATGTGCCTGTGGCCTATAACACTAGGGGAATGTAGGTTGGTTTTACACGCTGTCTTTTGGAGCAGTGCAGCTGACAGCAGCTTGGCATTCTTGCATGTCTGACCAGCATGTTTCTAGGATCATATTGCAGAGCAGTTGTTTAGCAGTAGGAATGATCTTTCTGCTTTCCTGAAAATCTGTAATTGCATCCCTTTTGAAGAGAAGTAACAAATCACGTGGATTTGAGCATGCTTGGGTAAAAGAGTAGCTATTCCTTAAAGGGAGATGAATTTTTCTTTTTTTTTTTTCCCGCTGTTCCCAAGCGTATTGAGTCAGCTCTACCAGCGTTGCATGCTGCAGTAGATTCCTGTTTTCTCCTACTGCTGCTGATCCTGCAGTGCAAAGCCATGCAGAAGAGTACGCCTCTCTCTGGGAGCTTCCCACGCAGGGGAGGTGGTGGTCGGTCAGACTCTGGCTGCTGGCAGGTTAGCACGGTCGCACCAGAGCTTCAGAGGTTTTAGTGAGTGCAGGATAAGATGATAAGGCTTCACTGCAAAGAGGATTGGTGAGAAAATGCCTTGTTGCTGGAGAATGAGTTTTAGCTCCCTGTAGGTTGTTTGTAGCAAAAACAAGCATTTATTTCTTTCCATAAACTGAAGCTGAATTGAGTCATCTGTGGTTGCTAAAAGACCCAGCAAACCCCTCTTCATGCTATCCTTTAGTCATGCTTCAGAGTAGATGGGTCATTTTATGTTTGACATTTAGTGAAGAGTAGCATCTGGTGTTCAAAGAGCACATTGAATGCAGTAGATGTGTCACCCATATGGTATGCATTTGTTGCGGGCTCCTTCCGAATGGTTTGTGTAATGACAGGATCCTGTGCTGGGCTTGCCCTTGCTCTGCGAGGATTGCTGAGGAGATCTCTCGCTTGCTTCTCTCCTGTCTAGTGTTACTGGAGCTTGCAGTGCAATACAGAAGCTGACTCGTGTGCGAGTGGTGGACAACAGCACCTTGGGGAACACACCATACCACCGGCCACCGAAGTGTATCCATGTGTATAACAAGAGTGGGGTTGGCAAAGTAGGAGATACCATCCTTCTGGCTATCAAAGGAGAGAAGAAGAAGGCTTTGATTGTAGGGCAGAAGATGCCTGGCCCCACTATGACCCCTAAATTTGATTCCAACAATGTGGTACTTATAGAAGACAATGGAAATCCAACAGGAACTAGAATAAAAACACCAATACCTTACCTCCTGCGACAGAAAGAAAGAAAGTTCTCCAAAGTATTGGCCATTGCCCGCAACTTTGTGTAATGGCTAAGAAAAGTATCTGGCTATCCTGTGGATATCTTTTTATGCAGTAGCTGTTTTGTGGTTCTTTTCTAGAAGAACGTGAAGCATATGAGAAAGTAGAGGTTCATAAAAAGTCTCTCCCTGTTTATGAATTATCAACAACTAATTCCAGTATTGAAATATCTCATTTTTCTTCCAAATGAATATTGATTTGTTTCACAGAAACATCTGCAGTGTGTTTGGGAAGTGCTCCTGCATTCTAACTGTTCCGGTGGTGTTAATTTGGTCTCTAATTATTAAAATGAAAATACAGAAATCCTTCTTGTTTTGTATCTTCTGTCTCTGCCCTGTGTCTGCCTACCTACAGGGTAGGCTCACGCATACCAGAATGGGAGAGGTAGCAGTAGAACAGCATCATGACCTGGTGATGCCTTAGGTGTATTTGTTAAAGGGATTTGTGTCTAGATCTTTGCAGAAGAAAAAAAGTCTTTCTGAGGGACTGACATTAGGACAACCTCAGGGTCCACAGTGTTGGTGTGTGGTTGAATGGGGTATGCTAGAGATGTGGAAGATGGGGAAGGAAACGTGTGAGGCTTCCATTGCAACCTGTTCTCTCCACCTGACCAATGTCAGGAAACCAACTTCTGTGTTCTTTACCCAGCCCTGCATTACCCCTGTGCGAAGGAGATCTGGAGACCTCAGTGCTGAGCCATCCCAGATGCGATTTAGCTGCTCCAGATATTTTGTCCCTTTTCACCACTGTCTCTATGATATCCTAATCATCCAAGAAAAAGAGCAGCCATGGATCCCCTCATGCTTTTGTTACTCAGGGTAATGAAGATACAATTATACTTCATCTTTAAACTTAAGTTTAGCCTCAATCTTTAAGTAATGACACTGTTTCTCTTAATAAAGCTTCTCTGTTAACTGGACAGGCCCAAGCTATGCCCAGTTTGGTGCAGAAAGATATTTTGCTCCTTGCCACGTGTGGCTTGTGCGCTGCTGTCTGTAGGCCAGCGAATGTCAGAGCTTCTGTCCTAAACCCCAAGCTCTGAGTTTTTTTTTTTTTTTGTTTTGTTTTGTTTTTTAAAGGCTTCAAAGTGTTTGCTGCCATAGGCTTCTGCACACTGACAACAGCAAAGCAGATACCGCCCTGGCTGATGTCAGTCTTTCCAGCCCATCTGAGGGCAGTCAGCTTCAAGGAGAAACTTTCTGTGCTTTGGAGAGGGTGTTTATGCCGCTTTGTTTGCTAAGAGCGATAGCGAGTGAACTCTGCGTGTGTTGGTCATGGCAATAACTGTGGCTAAGTTCACTCCCTCGCATGGAGTTTGCTGCCTTTCCGTGGCAGCATGGCATAGCCTGAGTCCTCAGGCACTGCTTAAAAGTCCTCATTAAATTTGGTTAAATTTGTGTCCTGATCTACAAGTGGAGTTTCTAGGACTCTTCTCTGAGGCGAGTGTTACTCTAAACATTAAAACCAGCTGTTAAGCTATTTTGAGGTGTACTTTGTCAGGCATCTACTACTGTGGGAGCAAAAAGCCACACGAGCTGCTATATCAAAGCTTGGGTAATGGTAGCAAGAGCTGTGCGAGACTGATTCAAATGCAGGAGGGCCCTGCTCTCTGCTCCCCAGGCTCTCTCCCAAAATCCCATGTGCTTCGGTGAAGCCTGTGGTTAAAGCACTCCACATGCAGCAGAAGTAGCAGGAAGGTATTTTTAGTGTGGTAACTATTATTTATGTTTAGCTCATGGGCAAAGGAAGAGGCCTTTTATTTCCTAAAAGGCGTTGCAAGTCCTTGCTAGGCTTGTGCTCATCATGTCTGGGTGTGCTGGGCCCTCTAGTGGCTTTGTGCAGCCCCGGTGCATGGGTGCAGCTGGGTGGCCCTGGTCCTCAAGGCCGCCCTCTTCCACCTGGGTTTTCTCACTATCAATCAAGTTGTAAAGGTACCCTAGATCTTCAGGAATGTCTTCTGCAGATAGCCAGGGGAACCTTTATTCTTTGCACCAGAATGACGTGGTCTGGCAGTGTACAGCCCTGAACAGCCATTGATGCTTTATTGAACACATGCTCTGTAAACTCAGATATGGAGTCCTTTCCCTCACCCACGTTTTACTCACTATGGCTGTTTGAGGGTGATTTCTTCTTTTGATTTAATAAAAAAAATCATAATCTGTATAAAACTCTCCTGAGGTCCTAAAGACCTGCGTGAAGACCATGTTGTGATCAAGAGTGGAGGTGTCTGGGAATTGTGAGTAAAAGGTTACCTGGAAAAGAAAAACCTCGACTTTAGGAGCAATATCAGTCTAGGGGTATCAGATGATCTAGGTTCTGCTCATAACGGGCCAAGTGCAGTTAGCGAGCATTGGATTTACAGGTCTCATCCTGACTTCTGTGAGGCTTTCCACAGTCAGTCCTGTGAGTAAGTACCAGTGCAGGCGGCTAGATCTACGTCAGTCCAGCTGAGTTGTGGCAAAGTCAGGATTATGCTCTCTGGTTATCTAATAAACCTCCACTGCTAAGTTCAGATGTAATTTAACCTTTTCAACTCTTGTCTCAGTAACAAGCTAAAGTATTTCAAGTAAAAAAATATATATATATGCATTTGTGCATATTTAGAGAAAGCACTTAGGCCACTTAACAGCTCTGTGTTCTACCTTTGGAAAGCCTTCCTCAAACTCTGAAAGTCCCTCCACCCTGATAAGCACATAAACAAATAGTTTTATAGTTTTATAAACGAATCACAAACCAATTGGCATCTCTGCCATGTCTGTCCTGAAAACATAGGAAGCTCACATGTCCTCATCATGTAAATTCTTCTGAGAACAGAGAATGGAAAATTGCTCTCCCTAACTTAAGGTTGAAAAATGTATTTTGAAATGTCAGTGTACAGGTTGTTTAGTTTCTGTGCAGAGGCCGTGGGCATAGTGGAAGTGAGGTCAATCACCAGCTAGAATACCTACAGTTCCAGCGCCCCCAGTTTGCAAGTCACTTAAAGGGCTATTTACCTGAGAGGTTTTCACTTAGCAACAGTTGCAGCCTCAGAAAGATTTCCCATTAGGACCTCAGGGCCTAGAAACAATTGTTGCCTTTCCTGTCCTGACCATGAGGACTATTAGTGTCTCACGGCATGCACAGACCCTGCTGTTTGGATATTAAATATTTCACAGAATATTTTCTAATAGCTTCCCAGCATTTTGCTGGGGAGAAGGTCATGGGGAGAGGGCATAAGAGGAAGCGGACAAGACAATGGAGCATGCTTTAGATTAAAATGTGAAGAGACACTTTATTTGCAAGTAAACTGATACGTGGAACTAAATCCTTAACCTCTGAGCTTAATAAGCAGACATTCAGACAGCTAAGCTAAGCGTATCCTGTAGAGCGTCTCCTGCAGTTCTTACCAGTCTTTTCCTGACAAGGAACGTGGGCCTCAGCAGAAATCCCTGGTCCATGGTGACAGGCTCTGCACTTGGCACATTCCAGGCCCTTGCCTGTAACCAGAGGGCTGGCGGCAAAGGGCCTGCCTTGTAAATAAGCCTGGAGCGCATTTCCACCAGGCCCGCAGCTTTCTATCCTGCTATGGCTGGGAGATGCTCAGATCCCAACTGTCCCAGTGCTGCTTTTGCAGCGGAGCCAGCACCGATGATTCAGTGTATAGGCAGCAGCAGATGAATGGCGCCTTGCCAGGGTCCCTAGTTAATGTAGGTTGTTTCCTGTGTTAGCTGGCTGGCTACAGGGTCTCTCTCTTGTCCTTCGAGCAGACCCCGTATTCCAGGTCCTTTGTTTTTTTTCAGCACAGTGGACAATACCTGCTTGTTCCGGGCTTCCAGTCTGGCGTGTGCTGTGCTCTGGAACTGCCAGAGCCTTCTGAGCAGCGAGCAGCAACCGGGCAGCTGACCCCCGGGAAGCCGGTTCCAGAAGGGGCTGTGGGTTCCCAGGGCTGCAGCTTGCAGCATCCTCCGTTGGTACCTGCCCCAGACTGCTACCCTGGGAGACACGTAATAACGGACCCCAGGAGCTGCCTGGGTTCTGTCCATGTGGGAAGCTTTCCACGGTTGTCCATTCTGCTTGTGAATCGGATCTGATTTCCTCTGTTGGAGGCAATCTTGCAAGCCCTTTTCTTGAAGGATGCCTGCGGGCTGGTGCGACGACTCCATCAGGAGAAAGAAGAGGCACACAAAAACACCATCTCAGCTGCTGCCATAAGGACTTTTTTCTTCCCTGCTCCCTATTTGTGTTTATTATTCCATTCTTACAATGATTCAATATAGTAAATGGAAAACTTTCTCAGCATGGGATGCTGCTTAGGAAGCATTCCTCAAGGAATTCTTGCAGCCTCTTGAAGGGCCATGGCACTCTGCAAAGAGAAAGGGAAGCCATAAGGCAAAGTCCTTACAGGGTCATTTTCTGCCCCTAGGAATTGATGTTAAAAATATGCATTCTTGGTTAGTTTTGAGTGGGTCCCTGGGTTAGGGTCTGTTCCCATGCATTTGAACGTGTGGTTTGTGTCACTTAAAACTCCTGAGACAGCAGTCTGGCCACGCTGTGGTGCCTATTCCCCTGGTGATGGCACAGACTCTGTGCCCGGGCATTCTTTGGTGGGAAGTGGGGTCTTTGTAGGGAATCCTGCATGGGTCAAGAGGGACAGACTTTGGGGAGATGCTTCACCAGGAAAGATGTGTGTCAGGGCTCTCTGCAGAGGTTCAGGCTCTGGGAAGAGAAAGGCAAACACTGGGGATTAACTGGCCATGAGAAGGGGTGTCCCTGAAAGGAAGTAGGCTAGACAGATTATCACAGAGGGATGCTGTGGGGAGCTGATGTCTTCCATCTGCTCGGAGACAAGGGCTGGGAGACAGGAGGCCCTGTCTTGTGGCTCTGCGCCAGCAGGATAGATGGACCGCAGAGCTTGGGAAGACAGCTAGTGACTTTGGGGACAGGGAGGAGGAGGGGAGGTGTGCGAAAACCTGGGGCAGGCCACAGTGTGCCCTGGCTGAAAGCAGGCGATCCGTCCAGCGGCCTGACTTCGGTCACAAGGGGTTTGGTCAGTCTCTTGAGGGGAGTGAGGGTGTCCTGAGGGGCCAGACCCCGAAGTGGAGCGTGAGTTGTTTGTCCAAGAGCAGGAGGCTGCAGGTGCAGAAGCTGCAGTGCCCCTGTGGGGAGTCCAGAAGGGCCGTGGCTGTGCTCTCCATCTTGTCACCCCGTCCTGGTCCGTGCGG